CATTTTTAATTAGTACTTTTATTAATTCTTCTGTTTCTGTTTTTATAAAGTCTTTGTTTGAGCAGATTCTTAGAATTCGTATATATAGGGACTTAATTAATCCAAGTTTGTACTTGCGAGCTTGGTTACTGTCATAGAGTAGGTAAAGGTTGGTACTAGTTGGTTTTCGATATAAAGTGGTTTGGTATTTGTCATTTTCTCTTATTATAAGAACATCAAGAAATGGCAGACTTTAGTTTCGTTCATATTCGATGGTAAATTTTATATTACTGTGCCATTTATTTATTCTTGTGAGAAATTCATCGATATTTTGCTGTTTATGAAATATACAGAAGACATCGTCTACATATCTGATCCACATCTTTGGTTTGTTAGTGCTGAATCTGTTTAATTTCTGTTCGAGTTTGGAGACGAATATATCAGCCAAGATGGGTGCGAGAGGCGAACCCATTGCAACCCCATCTTGTTGAATATAGTTTTCATTTTGAAACCGAAAAGGAATATTGATGACACTTAGTTCTAATAACTTTTTTAATTGTTGACGATCATATGGGTATGTAGTGGAATTATCTTTATCTTTGAATATAATATCCAAAGTGATACTAATCGCTTCATGTACAGGGACATTGGTATAAAGAGATTCAATGTCGAAGCTCACTATTATTTCATTTTTGTTAGATTTTAAGTTTATAATTTTCTTTACAAATTCAAAACTGTCTTTTATATACGAAGATGGTTTTTGTCGTTCATTTGTAATTATTTGCGCTAAGTGTTTTGATAGGTTATAATTATATGTGGCAACAGAGGAGATGATAGGACGGATCGGATAGTTTGCTTTGTGTACTTTCGGTTGTCCATAAAAGACAGAAGTTGAGGCACATGTTGAATGTAAGTGAAAAAATGTCTTTTGATCTATCACATTTTGTTCGTATAGTGCTCTTATATATTTATTCATTGCATTTTCCCGTTGTTTAACTAAGTTAATTTTTGTAGACTTAAATTGTTTGCTTTTTAATATTGTATGGGATTTTTCGATGTACTCTTTTTTATCCATGACCACTATAGCATTACCTTTATCAGATTTGCAGATTGTAATATTTTTGTTTGCTTTTAGTGAACGTATTGCTTGATATTCTTCGTCACTGATATTACGAATTATTTTCTTTTTGTTGGTTCTTATTAAGCTTTGAGAATAATCTTGAATGTTCCGGCACAGTGTTTTGAAGATTCAGGAATGACAGTGTTGTTCAATTTTCAATACATTATGTTCTATATCTGTTTTAAATTCTAAATAATCCTTTATTTTATGTTCTATACAGACATTCATACCACGACATAGAAGCCGTTCTCCAGCTGGCGTTAGTCTATAGCTAGAAATATTATGTAATACTTTAGTCTTTAATGCGTTATAGTCTTGTCCGATATTTCCGTGATTTAATATATTTAATTTCTTCTCGTAGATTTTCGTGATTCTATCGTTTTCATATTTGACTTTTTCAAAAATTAACTGTTTTAGATCGTTATGATCATTTAATGATAACTTTAGCTGTAAACTATTTAGTATATCTTCTATATGTCTTTTCAGTCACATCGAATCTTTATAACGATTTTTGTATTCTAAATGAATACATTCTCTTTGATACGAATGATGTTTTCCTTGAGATTTGATTTCATTTTTTCACATTTTGAAACGAACGAACTTAGGTTTTCCAGATGTGTATTGAAGAAAATTTTTCTGTCAGGTGTAAATCAAGAGTTTCGCTGCATTTACTAGTTTTAATATTGAATAACAGCATGAGCAGTGCCTGTTTTATGAACTTTTTTATTGGTCGCTATTAGTATTTTTGTTTCTATTGAGGTAACTCTCTGTCTGAAATGGAACAAATTTTCCAACTATTATTAACAAAAATGAATGGAAACCATATATGTTCAGCGCTCAAGCTGTACAATTACTTATTCGATTCCCAGGAAGATGTATACAGACTGGTTTGTGCTGGTATTAATAATCATTTTGGAACTGGCTATGAAGCTGAAGATGTGTTATTTGTATTGGATACCATAAATGGAAATGACGACTTAAAACAACGATTTTATACAGCTACAGCTGAAGAAATAATCGAATCATTTAATGCCAATAACGATATCGTAACATCAATGGAACTAGTAAATTTAATTCCCTTTGTCGCTGTTTGTATTCAAGAAAAGTGTAATTCTCAGCCATTACCGACATATAAACTACACCAGATTGTTACATTAATGCAACGTGATTTTTCCTCTTCATGCGGTATATATTATTCTACATGCAATGAATGTAAAACGCGTTATTTTCCAACATTTTATGAGTTAAACGGCTCAAAAATGAAATTTATTACATTTGACTCCATCAGAAAAAAAACGCAATGTATTTCGGAGGAAAAACTGCGTATGAATATCTATTATTTCTTGAATTCGAGGCACAATTAGTACACAACTATGCCGCATTCAACGGTTTCTGTGACGCACACAATTACAAACTTGAAATGCTCAATAGTCGGTTATCGTCAACAAAAACGACAACGAATGAAAGACATAAACTAGATCTTAAACTGCTTCAAATGAACTGGCTTATTTATCAACTCGCACGATTCGTTTTTATGTTAATGGATAATAATTGTTGTCACATACCGTCATCATTTGATTCAAAAGTAGAGAAAGATCAATATTTTTTGAAATATTTCGAAATTTTCTATTCAATATTTGTCGGTTTTCGGTCGCGACATAAAGTGTTAACGGAAAAGGGATTAATAAAATGCAAAGTTGATACGTGTTCAAAAGTATTCATTTCTGACGGGCATCAAAAAGCTAATCGATCGGTCTGTGCATTTGATAATATTTGGGACATTAGTATTCCTGAACTTGGTCCAATACTAGTCGGCTGTTGTGGAACGCCGATGAAAGTAATAAAAAATGGTGAGTGAATCTACATATTTCGTTTGGCTTATAAAATACGGTACTTTATTGTTTCTGTTAGACACAAAAATTTGTCAGATAGAAAAGGAAAACTCGGGTAAAATAAATTAATTCTTTCTTCTATGATTTTCATTCTCGAGAAATATGGCCTCAACTTGAACCGTCTGAATTTCCATGTTTCAAGTTATTGAAATTTCTTGACACTAATTTCTTTCGTTTCAGCTACCAAACAAGTGGATACACGGTATTGTCCAAACCATCAAACGGAACAACAACGAAAAGAAACATCACAAGCGGACAGGAATTCAAACAAATTGATAAATATATCAAATGATGAAAAAGTACAAGCGCAGAAAATGACAGTAATATCACATGAAAATTTGAATGAAAGTTCGATGACAAATGAACCAAAACTAGAAGACATTGAATGTGAAATATTTCGCAGTGATTATGAAACTCATCCAAAGCCTAGTTATAGATTTCTTACCTCATTTCATAATTGCAATGTTATTATTGGATTTGACGAATCAGCAAGAGGAGAGCGCAGTAAGTAACTATCCCCGTCTACTACTATTTCGAGTAGAAAACTGCATCAGCCGATCCTTTTCGATCAGTTCAATCCTATCTCAGCACCTACTATCTCCTATCTCAGCCTTGTCAGATGATTAAACGCATTTTTAATTAGTTTAGCTTTTTATGGTATTTTTGGTACTGACTACGAGTCTGATGTTCGTTTGTCCCCACGGGATCTTTTTAGATAGTTCACTAAAAATCAGATGTGTGAGGATCCAGTATGAACTTTCGGCTAAAGATATTTTCAAAATGCCAGATGATAGAACACCAACTCGTTTGTTGGTTCTAAAACATTTTCTACATAGATAACTCTGCCATGTGATACTTCAAAAATATCTTTAGCCCAAAGTTCATACTGGATCCACACACATCTGATTTTTAGTGAACTATCTAAGAAGGTCCCGTGGGGACAAACGAACATCAGACTCGTAGTCAGTACCAAAAATACCATAAAAAGCTAAACTAATTAAAAATGCGTTTAATCATCTGACAAGGTACCTCGTAGGTGCTGAGGTAGCCTGTCATAATAGTAATCAAATGTAAGTTTTGACTATTTAGTGAGAAGAATGACGCGTCACTTACTTCGAATTCAAAAATACGGTGAACTGCCGCCTGCCATGATGTATGACTGTGCATGTACACTTCGTTTGTTTTCCGATCCTCAGTAAAATTCACCAACGTAATCTCAACAGTCTCGACTTACATCACACTTCTCGACTTGCAAGATTTTGGATTTGCACTACAATTCTCAAAATTCTCAAGTTGCATCACACTTCTCGACTTTTAAACTTCTGGATTTGCACTACAATGCCCAAACTTCTCAAAATTTTTGAGTTCCATCACACGTCTCGAGTTGCAAAATTTTGGCTCTGCTCTAGAATCCTCAAAATTCTCAATTAGCATCACACTTCCCGACTTGCCAAATTTTGGATTCGCACTAGAATTCTCAAAATTCTCAACTTCCATCACACTTCTCGACTTTTTGATTTGCCCTGGAATTGTAAAAATTCTCAAGTTGCATCACACTGGTCGACTCGCAAAATTTTGGATTTACTCTAAACTTCTCAAAATTCCCAAGTTTCATCACACTTCTCGACTTGCAAACTGCAGCACGCTTCTCGATTTCCAAAATTTCGGATTTGCACTAGAATTCTCAAAATTCTCAAAACTTTCCAGTTGTCTCACGCTTCTCGACTTGCAAAGTTTCCAGTCTGCACGAGAATTCTCAAAATTCTCGACTTTTTGATTTCCAAATTTTGGATTTGCACTAGAATTATCGAAAGTCTCAAATTTCTGAAATTGCAGCACAGTTCTCGACTTGCAAAATTCTCAACTTTTCGTTTTCCTAAATTTCGGATGTACACTGGAACTCTCAAAATTCTCAAAAGTTTCCAGTTGCTTCACACTTCTCGACTTGCAAAATTTTTGAGTCTGCACTAGAATTCCCGAAATTCTCAAGATTCTCTAGTTGCAGCACAGTTGTCGACTTGCAAAATTTTCGATTTGCACTAGAATTCTCAAATTGCAGCACGCTTCTCGATTTCCAAAATTTCGGAATTACACTAGAATTCTCAAAATTCTCAAAACTTTCCACTTGCATCACACTTCTCGAGTTGCAAAATTTTCGATTGCACTAGAATTCTCAAATTTCCCAAATTGCAGCATGCATCTCGGCTTGCAAAATTTCGGATTTACACTAGAATTCTCAAAATTCTGAAAACTTTCCAGTTGCTTCACACTTCTCGACTTGCAAAATTTTCGATTGCACCGGAATTGTCAAAATTCTCAACTTTTCGATTTCCAAAATTTCAGATTTGCACTAGAATTCTTAAAATTCTCAAAACTATCCAGTTGTCTCACGTTTCTCGACTTGCAAAGTTTCCAGTCTGCACCAGAATTCTCAAAATTCTCGACTTTTTGATTTCCAAATTTTGGATTTGCACTAGAATTCTCGAAAGTCTCAAATTTCTGAAACTGCAGCACAGTTCTCGACTTGCAAAATTATCGACGTTTCGTTTTCTTAAATTTTGGGTTTGCACCAGAATTCGGAAAATTCTCAACTTTTCGTTTTCCAAAATTTCGGATTTGCACTAGAATTCTCAAAATTGTCAAAATTTTCCAGTTGCCTCACGGTTCTCGACTTGCAAAAATTCCGGTCTGCACCAGAATTCTCAAAATTCTCGACTTTTCCAGTTTTTGGATTTGCACTAGAATTCTCAAAATTCTCCAGTTGCATCACACTTCTCGACTTGCTGAATTCTCGATTTGCACTGGAATTCTCAAAATTCTTAAAATTCTCAACTTCATATACACCACCATGCATTATAACGAATTCCCAGCGAATGCAAATTCATTTCTTAGAACATCAAATTCTCGGCGCGTGCGTATTGTGCAAGCTATGGTAATGCGAGAAAAAAATAAACATTGCAGTCTATAGCCACTATGAAGACATGTTGCATACCGAAGAAAATAGTAAATAATAACTCAGTTCGCGGCGGATGCGAATTGTCGAGGATCTCAGAATTTTCAATTCGCATCATACCTCTCGATTTGCAAAATTTTGGATTTGCAGTGTAATTCTCAAAATTCTCCAGTTGCATCACACCTGTCGATCTACATAATTTTGGATTTCCACCAGAATTCTCAGAAATCTGAATTTGTATCACACTGGTCGATTTGCACTAGAATTCTCGAAATTCTCAAATTTCCCAAATTGCAGCACACATCTCGGCTTGCAAAATTTCGGATTTACACTAGAATTATCAAAATTAATTTTAAAAAATTAAAATCTCGCAGGAGAATGTATTAGACGTACCACTTTTTACTATGCTATTTGTTCGAAAGTAATGACTAAGATTACGTTGACCACTGATAAGAACTTCTTGCATCATTTTCCTCTGTGAGATTCAAATCTGCTGTTGAAAAATGGTGACTTTTTATAGGAGAATAGTAAAAATCACAGTCAGAATTGGTTAAAAAAGTGCTTTGATAGATTGTATTTCTTGATTAAGACGGCTGCTTAACGTATGAAAATTGGCTTTTACATACTACTTACAGGTGAGTTCTCCCCATATCTTTTCATTGATAAAGTTATCGTAAATAATGCATTTACATTTTATGCGCCCGAATTTTTAAATTTCAGACCACACAAACGAAATAAGTAACGAAAGGTAAAAGAAATGGTTGCCTGTTCTGCATGTGGTTCTCCAGTTTATCCTGCTGAAGCAGAGTCTTATAATGGCTTGGTGAGTATGATAACTTTAAACACTTAGTGACGCTCAGAAATTAGTATACTCCAAAGCATCATATTTAAAAATGCCTATTTAAGTATTCTATCCTTGGATATTTGATTCCTGAACTACCCCAGTAATAGATTAAATTTTTCAGTCCTGGATATTTCACTCTCTCACTATTCACCAAGCATTTCATCACGGTCTTCGTGGCAGTTTTTCTTCTTATCTGCACGATAACAGATAATTTTTTATATGTTTGATCTATTTCTAATGACGCCTTCATGAACGATGTTAACAGTATACGCTTGTTCCATGTACATACCGTGACACTCGGTTGTAATTTGCTCGGTCCTCTGAGCTCGAATCTTTCCGTGGATTCCGACATATTTTCTCGAGAGCCCATGCTCGTTCTAGTATAAGTACCTCGTCCACATTTGTAAGTTATTTTTATGCTACTTCGATTTGAGATAACAAAACCAAAGTATGGAAAACACACCAATAGGTAGTGATCAGCGCAAAAATCTGAATAACAATTTTTCCATTTCATTTCGTGTCAAATTGAAATCGACATTATGATAGGTGTATCATCGGCGCTGTTTCAAATGTGCACAATGTCAAAGATCATTGACCGTATCCAATGTTTGTTTTGTACTGGGAATACTCTACTGCAGACCGTAAGTAATTGAACGAGCTCTCGATTCCTTTTTCTACTTTCCCAACGCAACATGATTCTATTTCATACTATTTCAAGTCATTCACCTACAACTCTCCGACCATCAGTTCCTGTCAATGTCTCAAAAATGCCAAGCGATGCAAGCCCAATACTACGACAGGTCCCTCCAAATCGACCGCTACAGCAAGCATTTTCCAATCCTCAACAGCCGATAAACACCAATCAAGGGGCTTCACGAATGAGTGTTGTAGGACCACCAAGGCCTGTTCCTTCGGATATGGCATCACCAGTTGCCAGCAACTCACCTCTACCTATCAATCAACGAGAATCAGGGCAACCACCTCGATTTAGTGCACCTCAGCCGCAGTATACTCCATCTCTACAACAGTCGATGAACATAAACCAAGGGGCTTCACGAATGAGTGCCGTGGAACCGCCAAGGTCGGCTTCTCCCAGCACAGCGTCAATAGTTGCCAGCAACTCACCTCTGCCTATCAATCAACGAGAATCATGGCAACCACCTCGATTTAGTGCACCTCAGCCACAGTATACTCCACCTCTACAACAGTCGATGAACATGAACCAAGGAGCTTTCCCAATGAGTATTGCTGAATCACGAAGCTCGGTTCTTTCGAGTGCGCAACCGTCTGATATATATTTATCTGGGGGAGACCGTTCAAGCCAAGCAGCAGGACGAGTTCGTTCCAAATCACCAATGCCAGCAGCTGCAAGGCCAACAAGTGAGAGTATAAATGGGGTTCAGTGCAAATTTAATTAGAGTGAGAAGAAGCAATCTAGGTAGTTAGAGTATTCGAGGACATTGTCTTAGGTTCTCAGCTGAATCGTTAACCCTATAACAGGTGTCTTCGTTAGAAATTGTAATGTGAAAAGGAGCATACGCGACACTGAGTAGTAAAAGATAACAGATTGAATAATAACTTGTTGACTCATGTCTAAAGACCTTTAAAATAACCATTAGAATGCGACGTAATGGTTTACTTTGATATTGTGAATCTTGCGAAACAATCAACCTTTCTCATTGAGGATCAATGTTCTATATTGTTTACAAATTCAGCTATTGGATACGTAATAGTTAGCTTAAAAGCAGCTGATAATTAACTTAAATAGTCGTCGTAGCTACACTCATGAGCAAAATTGAGCAATACACTGGAAAAAGTACTAGAAAAACTGACCTCTACTAAGTAAACAGTAACAAAAGACTTTATTGAATTCCTCAAATCATTGTGAAAATCATCTGGCATCAGACAGTAGCAAATCAGTTAGCCGATCTGTTTCCTTCATTCAGAGCTTAGACACTTGCAAGTCATTTTTGTACGTAGAAATAGTACGTTAGAAAATCATGGATTTTTGTGATCGAAATTTTCATGTAATATTATCTTCATAGATATTCGGCATCAGGACAGTGGAGCAAAAAGATCAACGAGCACAGATCGTAAAAGAAAGAGTATGCGGCGAGTCCTATTCATTGGGCCCACGGGCACCGGAAAATCAACTTTGATTAATATCTTAATTAACAACAACGTGACTACCGAAGCTATGTCAAGTCCAGCTATGGCGGACAATACGGCTGCTGGACAAACAACGTGTTTCACCACTTATTATGACTTTCCAGATAACGCTTATACAGACTCGATTGGATTTGGAGACAACCGCTTTAACGCCACAGAGGTCATGGGTTCTTTGAAATCAGTTCTAAAAAATGCCTCTATTGGCTATAATAAAATTTACATATGCCTCGAATACGGCCGAATATCGGCGGACGTTCGACGCTATATTGATTTGATCACCACAATATTTGGTACTGGTGTGTTACCATGGTCTTCTATTATCTTTACTCGCTGCAATGATCAAACGATGACAAAAGAGACGTATCTAATGAAAAATTCTCAAGATAAGGAGGTTGTTGCAGTTATTAAGCAGCTAAAGACTGTCGTCTTTGGTGATAATATGAGAGACGAGCATCCAGAGGTGGAAAAGTTTTTGTACCCACGGCGGCAAGAATTCCTTCGCCGAATCAGACAAGATATTGACGATACAGCGAAAGGAGAATATTTTCAATTGTCAAAAAAAAACCTAATCGAACGGGCACAAAAGATTATCAGAATTATTTTTGGCATATTGCCAAAAACGACGACTGTTGCTAGCGATATAAAAGCTTTCGCTAGAGCAGTTGCCAGCGCGATGCAGTCATCCAAATATCGCAACTATTTTGGGGAATGCTCTATATGCAGCGAAGCTATTGTAGATGAAAACAAGCCGATAATGACCGAATGCGGTCATGTATACCACGAAGTTTGTTTGATGGATTGGGTTCGTATAACACCTAGCACAGATTGCCCACTATGTCGCGCGAAATTCGACCAAAAAAACCAATTTTACACATCTTTAACTTCTGATGTGTAGAATATTAGAAAGCGCTCACAACGCCCAAGCAAACTCCGTGCTACTTGACTTATTTTTTCCAATATTCTAGACAAAGTTTCTCGTAAATCTTCCAATAAAACGCTATGTACGATGGTTGTGAGTATACTATGTGCCCTTCTATTTTGCTTATTTCAGTTTTTTTTAATGAGGGTTCATTGCTGCTTATTTGTTCACACGACAGAAATAAACGCTTTTCAAAGAATTGATACAATTTTTTCTCTCGCTCAAATCTTCAAACGGATGTGATCGAACGGTGCTTGATTCTACATTTCATAAAAAAATTATCGAATGATATTTTTTGTTATCTTCTGCTACAACAGAAATCTATCCAAAACTAGCGAGAACCCGTGCGTACTGCACAAGAGTACTCTCGACACCAAAAAAACGTTCTATGATCAATGACATGAATGTAGTCCGCAAGAATGTATTGATGATCAAACTAAAAGTATTTTGACAACCTCAAAGTGCTCCAGGAGGGAAATCGAGCAGTTGGATTGGTTCAGGTGCTTGGGTATATCGATCTTAATAATCAACTGCTAGTTTATCTATGTTAGGGAAAATGAAGATGAGTTTGAAAAGGGGGGTTTGTGTCAGGATGAAGGCAAAGAGCAGAACTGCAAATATTTCAAAACCATAGAATATGTGTTTTATGTAGTCTATAATTTTTTTCTTGGGTCTAAATAAGATTTCAGTAGCTTAATTTTTCGAAGAATGTTCAAATAAGTCACATATTTGGTTTCTAAACATGACATTGAGGTATTCAGAACAACAGTATGACTATTCAAATGCATTGTAATCTGCGTCGTCTCAATAATGCATGCAACAGCTTTATATATTCTCTACTAGATACACGAAATCGTCTCCAATCATACTTCATTGCATCAGCAACATAGACTATGGAGTAGATTTCTCCGGTGTACGACACGTTTACGTTTACAATTACGACACGTTTACGTTTTATTAATATGAATTTGCTTCAAGTCTAAGAGTATTATAGAAGGGAAAAGGGATCTTAGGTTTCTCTAACATAGTGTAACAAAAATATTTGTGAATCGCGGTTACTTCCACGGATACAGACAGAAGCTCTTTCATTGCATTATTTGATCGATCACAGACCCAAATAGGCATCATGACAAGAATTTTGTCCTTGACCTCAGTAAAAAACCTAAATGTATTAAATAGAATATTGTTCGCCCCCTACCACCCCTTCAAATGTGTCATGGAAACCCTGTTACAAAAATTTAAAGCGTATTCTTGTGAAGCCTCGTTCACATATACGCTCATGTTACTCTTTCTCAAACGTTACACTCGCATTCAATTTCTCTTTCTTTCTTTATTCGCATCCTTTCCCTACTGACACTGCCGATCCTAAAGGTACTTGTTAGTGACGCACATATTAGAAAGATTAAAAAGAAGAAAAAGAAAGAAACGAGAGGAAAATAAGATGTGAGGATGAGGCGGATGAGGATAAGGATGAGAACACTTAGTAGGGGTTTCTCTTAGGAAGGTTTTCGGAACTTGAAACTTGAAACTGCAGTTGAAATGAAGGCTTCAATTGAATTTAACTTTGATATAAGCTATTTATTGAAAGAAAGAAATTCAGGTACTTGTGTCCACCAAAAGAGAGAACGAGTCCCCATTATTATTGATGGTGACACAAGAAACATAGATCAATTCAAAAAAGATAAAACAGC